AAATATTTGTTATGGTTGATTGGTTTAACACCTATAAGTAAAGAAAAATAAACTAATTATCCATCTTGTGTGACTTCATCATCACCTACTACTTCATAATAATAAAGTCTTGTTGGAAGAACTCTATTTCTTTGAGGTCATTGGCTTGTTTCTGCCATAACTCCTTCGACTTTGATTGTTTCTGGAATATCAGCAATTGCTTCAACTTCAATTGGATTCTCAGTAATTCCTTCGACTTTGACTTCATCAGTTTATTCGTCAAAATCAGAGCTCATCAAGGGCTTGTTAATTGAATTACTAGAATTCCAATCCCAGGCATAATTTTTATCAATCACAATATCTCGACTCAACACAGTCTTGTCATTAATTGGATTGAATATCTTGTATCCATCTATCTTATGATACCCTACTAGAATCGTAGGTTCACTCTTGTCATCAAGCTTCCTTCTTCACGCATCAGGAACATGCTTGTAACACATAGAGACAAACACCTTCAAATGGCTAACTGATGGTCGTTTGCCACTCCAAACTTCTTCAGGAACCTTTTTCTTTAATATCTTGGTAGGTCACATGTTCAAAATATAAACTACAATTAAAGCAGCTTCACCCCATAAATATTTTGGCAAATTCTCATGCTTTAGCATGCATCTCACCATATCCAATATGGTTTTGTTTCTTCTTTTAGAAATTCCATTATGTTGAGGAGTATAAGGAGCAGTTACCTCATGATCAACACCATGTTCTACATAGAATTTTTCAAACATCTTTGAAGTGTATTCACCACCTTCATCTGTTCGTCGAACTTTGATCCTTTTCTCACACTAGTTTTCGACAAGCATCTTGAATTTCTTAAAGATTTCAAATACTTCGTTCTTTCTCCTGATCACATAGATCTACGACTTTCGACTAAACTCATTGACAAACGACAAAATATCTATTTCCACCAATGGTATGTTCTTTTAATGGACCACATACACTTGAATGTACCACTTCGAGTATGCATGATAATCTCATAGGCATAGTCAAAACAAAAGAGTTTCTAGATTGCTTTCCGACTAAACAACCTTCACAGAGTTTGTCGGGCATCTCAAGACTTGGGATACCAAATACCATATCTTGAGTAATCAACTGATTGAGTGACTGAAAGTTCAAATGTCCAACCTCAAATGCCACAACCAACTATCCTTGTGGTCGATAACAGTTTTTATACATTGTACTTCTGTCGAGCTGATCATAGTCTTAAACGTCCTGTTCTTCGACAACGAAGATTTTAAGACCAAATTTTTTTTGGTCGAACAATTTTAAAACTCCATTTTTCATGACAACTGAGAAACCTTTTTCGACTAGTTGTCCAACACTTAACAAGTTGTACTTCATTGCAGGTACATAGAGTACATCTTTGATCATAGATTTCTCTCAAATACTCATTTGAAAGACTATGTTTCCAGTACTTTCTGCTTGCATCAAACTATTATCAGCAAGTTCCACCTTTCTCTTCTTTGAATCATCAAAATCTACCAACCACTCCTTTCGACCAGTCATGTGATTCGAGAAGCCAGGGTCGAGGAACCAGATCTTAGATTCGACATGGTTATTTATAACTACAGCCATAACCACCATACCACCTTTAGAATCATCTAAATCTTGACGTGCAAGGTTTTCTCCTTTGTCCTTTCCTTTTTTCGATCCATTATCTTTCATTTACCAACAATATTTAGCCAAGTGACCCTACTTTTCACAGTTATAACACTACATACCATTCTTATCTTCTTTGTCCTTTCGATAGTTTCCTCCTCCCTTTTTCGAGGATTCAGAAGATTGATCTTCGACCTTATTCTTGTGGAGATTCGACTAAGACTTCCTTCCTTGAGTCTTGTCAAACGTGCTTTTGAATTTGTTGGAACCACCATCCTTTTTCCATGACTGAGATTACAGTGCCTGTATCTAGTCCTGAACTCCTTTCCGTTCGACAATCCTCATCTCATGCGCCTCCAACGAACCAATAATTAGGGGAGGTTCGAGCGAGGAACATTCTATTTGTTGTGGGACTTTCCTTTTCAGAAACACACCTTTGTGAGAGACACACCACTTGTCCACCTAAACCTTAAAGTAATAGGTGAGTGGATTCTCCCACTCATATATGTTTAAGTCACCATATTCCTATCCAATATGAGATTATTTCTCCACTTACTCACACTTGCGTTATTATTATTCACACTTGCATCATTGTTCTAACACTCCCCCTCAAGTGTGAGTCCACAATGTACCATTGTTTGGGGGAGTTACTAGGAGCATTGATACAAAGTTGAGAACTAGACACCTTTTTGAGAGACAGACCACTTGTCCACCTAAAACCTTAAGGTGATTATGTTCAAGTCGATTTAACAATTGGGTTGAGATGTGGTGTTTTTCTCTCTTGTGATCCTGGAGCATTATTCCCATTGGTGCTCCTGACTCCCTCGGACTTCCAAACAAAAATGAGAGAGATCTTAAATTTAAGGGAAGGAAAAATCAAAATTTACTAATTAGTAAATTTCATTTCATTGAATTGATGCATTGCAGATATAGGTGACATTGCATCCAACCGAGTTAAAATTCCATATGTTATTTTTTATTTATTTGTTACTTGATTTTTATTCATCACATTATCTTACACATTATCTAAGCATTGTGTTTGATATATTATTACCTATCTAACAAAATTTTAATTATAGCAAATTACTCTCTAAAAATGTAATACCTGATTTGCTTATGCAAGTCTCTTGATCTGCACACTTGTTTGTATTTGGCTATGTGTTTTGCTTTATCTCATTGGCGTGTCAAAGGGACTACCAATGGAGATTTTTCCCTTACGTGTACTTGCACCTAGCCATGAGAAAAACTCTGGATTCACGGTGAATCTGTTTTGATGCATGTTCCTTGTAGAATTGAGTGGATCCTTAAGATAGGGAGACTTAATGAGTTTTAGTAATCTCACCCCATTTCAATTATTATTTTATAGGTTGTTCGAGGCAGGATCGTGACAAAGATAAGATGGTTTAGCTTGTTAACGATGTTTCTTGGCGATATTTTATTCTTTTATATCTTTCAGTTTTCGTGCTATGGATTATATATTAATACTCTTATGAGATTTTGTAAACTTTTGGCTATGACTGTTTCGACTAATTGTAACTTATACTAATACCTACTTTCATTCTGCTGCTTATATATGATATCATGTATCATTATTAATAAAATATACTTATATCTTAGATAATATATGTGTGAGATATTACAGAAAAATTAACTCCGAAGCTTAATACTAACTGAAAGTAGTAAACAATCACCTTATTCGATCACAATACTAGATCCAAAATACATAATTGCTAAAAAAATCTTACACTCCACATAGGTATTGAGATAAAATGCTGCTATTGAGACAAAAACAGTTCCATATCAAACAAAACGCTTTAGATACCATCAAATTTGATCAATAAAAAATTCATTCAAAGGTGGCTTCAAACACTTTGTAGAGACCTTAATACCTAAGCATGGAGTCAATGTCAACATCTAACATCCCACTAAGACAAATACTAAATATATTAAGACACGAACAACAATATTTTTTAAACATAAATTTTATTTTCATAATCCTTTTTTGTCTTAACATAATCTATTCATATATTTACTTAATTAGTGGGCCCTTACCCTAGTCTACCCTAAAACTATACATACATGAGCAAAGAAAAGTAACAATATGAAGTTTGACTGATTTGTTCACATGGTGGCGCGTGAATTATAAAGAAAAAATATTTCCATGCAAAAAAGAAAATTGAAGAGTGGGGAAGGGAACAGACGAGACCAAGAAAAGGTTCACTTGGTCGGGACACACTAAAAGCATAAATAGACCACCTTTATTTATTTCATTCTAATTTTAATAAACATTAAAATATTTCAACCACATTCTTTACCTTAATTATTCATTCAATCAACAACTAATGTTGTACTATTTTATAGTAGAATCATAATTAAAGTTTCTGTTAGGCCATTCTACTTCAAATTGCTGAATGAATGAAGATTCACATAGTTACTGCCTTGCGCCTTATTTGAAAGCATACAAGACGGGCTACTGTCTAGATCTAAAATTTGATACATTTAAACATTAGTTAAAAATAACTTCATAAACTCCTTTTCAGAATTAAATTATGATAAAATAAGATTTAATTTAATTTGTCACATTTAAATCGTGGTTAATTTACACAATATCTTCATAAATTTTATATGATTTTAGTTACTGATACATGCATTCACGTATTTGATGCACGCATTCACGTATTTGATACATTAGTGATCATTCAATTTAGACCTAATAATTTAAAAAATATTTTTAATTTTTGATTTATAATTTTAAATAAATTTTAAATTTAAATTATTTAATATTAATCACAATTACTGATCCCAAATTACTAACATGTGTTATAGGTTGGTCAGCATACACAAAACCCTATCTTTTTTTTCCTCTCTTATTAAAATGTAAACATGACATATCAAACTCAATACATGGCTTTTTTTCATGCACAAGATGGAGAGAGAGAGAGAGAAGCACTATAACAATCTCTTTTTCTAACTACTTACAAGGCATCAAAAAAGAAGCTTATGGGTTAAGAAACATCACCTTCTCAAAATCCTGAAAAGCAATAAAACAAAAAGAGATATATAGGGAAATGGGAGGGAAAATAATAATGAAACAATAAACAAAAACAAAATTTTATATATATACTCAAAAGCATCTTCCTTTATTTTTAGGTTCTCATCACCACCACCTTAACCCTTTGATCCCTCTCTTCTTTCTTTCTTGCTTGCTTTCTCTCTTTTTCTTTCTCTCTTCTATGCTCAACTCAACCACAAACAAAAAACAAACACTATCTCTCTTTAACTTGTTGATGTGATTCTCTTCACTATTCTCTATCCCTTAAAACTCATCAACCTTTACAAAAGAGAAAGCTCCAATAAGAATAACCATGGTTTATACTTCTCTTCCATCATATATGGATCCAACCAATTGGCATCAACAGGTAAATTTTTCAAGGGTTCTTCTTCAATTAGGTTTTTCAAAAAGAAAAGCAAAAAAAAAAAAACTCATAAAGATAAATATTCTTTCTTTACTTTTGTTTATACCCTTCTCTTGAATATACCAAATTAATTTTATTTCCTTTTTTGCAGCAACAAAATCATCATCAAGTGGCTAACGGTAATAGTGTCAACACTCCTTTTCTTGTTAACTCACCACAGCCTCTACCATCGAACCTGACACCATCGCAGCCACATGAAAGCTCGATTAGGCCAGGTTCGATGGCAGATAGGGCAAGGATGGCAAACATACCTATGCAAGAACAGTTGCAAAAATGTCCAAGGTGTGATTCAACCAACACAAAGTTTTGCTACTTCAACAACTACAGTCTCTCACAGCCTCGCCACTTCTGCAAGACCTGCAGAAGGTATTGGACAAGGGGCGGCGCGCTTAGAAGTGTCCCGGTCGGCGGTGGTTGCCGAAGAAACAAAAGAACTAAGTCAAGCAGTAACAACACCTCCAAGTCACCGGTCAGCTCCGATCAGCAAACCACCTCGGCAAACAACTCTCCGGCAGTACTCAGCTCCCAGACGCCACCGCCGATGAGATTCATGTCTCCTTTACATCATCTCGGCGATCATCACCTCGGTGAAATAGCTCTAAACTATAATTTTCCTACTCAAATGGGAGGAGGTATAGGAGACTTGAATTTCCATATTGGAAGCGTCGGCGGTGGTAAAAGTGGTGCTTCTGCTTCGATTTTACCTACCGGTAACTTCGAGCAATGGAGAATGCCACAAACTCATCAATTTCCCTTCTTAACAAGCTTAGAACCTTCTTCTTCACATGGATTGTTGTATCCATTTGGTAATGATCAAGAACACGCATATGGTGGTGTCTCTAAGGTATTAACAGCTTCTAGTGTGAAAATGGAAGAGAATCAATCTAAACAATTCTTGGGAATGATCAACAACAACAATAACAACAATAATAATAATCATAATAGTGAACAATATTGGAATGCTTCTAATGATGGTGGTGGTGCTACTTCAACTTGGAATGATCTTTCACCTTTTAACTCTTCTTCCGCTACTACAAATTCCAACTATAGAACTTAATTTAGTAATGCTTTCTTTTGAAATCTAAGTTTTTTTATTCTTCCCTTTTATTAACCTCTCCAAAACAAAGTTTCATAATCTTTTAAGATAGAATGAAAACCCTAGGGATGTTTGTTAGATTCTTATATTTCAACTTTATGAATTCTTAATCTTTTTTTTCTTTAATTTTTTTTCTTCTACTTAATAGGTTTAGAATATGGTTTGTGTGATATGTAATCTTTACTATAAGGATTAATATTTTGATGAGCTCAAATGAATGAATATTATTGTAGTAGATGAACAATTATTTGTGTTAATTTTATTTGTTTTTTAAATGGAAAATGTTTATGATGTAAGTTTATAATAATTAATTACCACTTATCACAAATATATGAAACTTCAGGCTGTGCATAGGATAATCAATTTTTACCAAAAAAATATATGGAAATTCTTTTTAGTTTCTAGTGGTGAAACGTGAAATAGGTTGAATGAGTTGAAGTTTAATTATCATCAATAAAAAATATAATATTTGGTTGTAGGGGTTTCATTTTCAAGAAGATTTTGAGGATATAAGGTTGTGCACTGAAAACCGTAAACAACAAAATCAAATAGATATTCTGAATGTTAATTTCAACGCTTCTCAAAAGAATTTTGACTGGTCTTAATCAAAATGGTGAATCATTGGTTGGTTTTGTTTTCATAGTGAAGATGAGCACATTCAGATTGTTCTTTTTAAGATTCAAGAATTTCCTTGTGAACATATAGTAATAAAGCAAGAGTGGTTGTTAAAGAAAGTTTAATAAATATTATAAACGCATGTTTTTCGTATTTACTCAACAACCACCAAAAAAGTGTTTCAATTAACTTGGTTATAATGATTACTTCGCGTCAATTAATAACTAATTAAGCACTTATTTAACAAATCAATGGTGAATTATTCAGAGACCAAGGTATGGGACAAACTCCAACACCAACAACCTTCTCATTAAAAGGCTATGTTTGTCATATTGCAGTAAATGTTAATCAAATTTTGAATTTTCTAGTGAATTTTTCATCAACAGGTGGTAAATATTCTAGGGCAATTCCTATTCTTCAAAAACCCAGATGTTACTTTTACATGCATAAAAAAATAATTTTAGTGAAAAATATTTAGTACTTCGAGAAATTGCAACTGTTTTATTATTCGTGAACGATTAAATATATAGTCCCAATAGAGATTCAAATCTCAGTTATATATAAAATGTTTGAATACTATAACACACAAATCTTTCTTGAGTTTAGTGACTTCCAACAGTATAGAGAATATTTATATCATTAAAAAACATGAAGAATTTTGCATGAGAGCGATCCTGTCCTCTTTATATATATATATATATATATATATATATATATATATATATATATATATATATATATATATATATATATATATATATATATGAGAATTAATAAATTATATGTGAATATGAGAATGAATAAGAATTATTAGATTTCCGTGTCATTAGACTAAAAAAACAAGCTCATTTGCGACGTGATTATCACGTCACAGCATGAAAAATCACGTCACAACAGTTTTTTTTGGGACGTGACTGAACACGCCGTATAAGAGTTTGTGTCAATTTATTTGCAACGAGAATTTCATGTCACAAAATTGAGACGTGAAAATCACGTCGCAACACTTTGCAAAGATATCCAAAACGTTGCAGAAGGAGGAGGCAGAGCAGAGTATTAGTCAGAGCAAAAAAGAATTTTACAACGTGATTTACATGTCATAAATTTGCGACGTGAAAATTGTGTCATTAATAATAAACCTGAAACCAATAATTTGCGACGTGATTTTCATATCACAAACTCACGATCACAACCTCTTGTACTAACGTTCCTTAGACACATTGCAAAAGATAGATTCAGAACTTTGACTTCAACTGTAACACGTAACCACGTGTTTTCTTCTAGTACTATATGTTCAGAACCTGATGACGTCAAACTTCATGAGATCAGGCCTTCACTCAGTCTCTCAAGGTATCATTCAATAACAGTTGAGTACTTTCAGTGTATTACAGATTTCCTTCTTGTAAGCAGATTACACAGACTTTTTATTACAATAAAAAAAACACCTAAGTTTTCTACTACAAGATACGAGCAACAACTCCTTGCTTATTAACAAAATTGTACATATATGATTTCTCTATAGAGTTTTTACAGCGCTTTTGTGTAGTTTTGTTGAGCTTGTATTAATTCAAAAGATTTTTGGTTGTAGTGTTGATTCTTACATTTTCTTCAGCTTCCAAGTCTTTCTTTTATAGCTTATAAAAGAGACTCGTTGAAAGGGTAGATAGATAATCAGAAATCTAGCTCTTGGTTCTCAACAGTCATAATGTACACAATCACACATTAACCATTTTGAACTTTCTTCTTATCTTTAGAGGCTTCGGATAATTAAATGTTTAACGTTGAAGCTTGTTGTAGAAGAATCTTTCTTAAGTCTTAGAACCTAAGTCTTGGAGTCTTCAGAACATGTCACGCAGAACCTTGTTGTTGTACCCCAAAATTTATCCTCTCACTTATCAAGAATTTTCTCACAAGATCCCCTTGGGTTCAAGACTGCACTAGGGTTTGATCAGCTCAAGACACCTCCTTAGGCACCTGATGACCAAAATTAGGGTTTGAGTTTGCACAAGTATTTTTGAACTATCTATGCTTCATATGACTTTCATGGACCATTATGGACCCCCAAGATTACTCATGTCAAGTTTCAAGCCTTGGATCACACTTTTGATCAGTCAATTGAAAGTTGACCTAAAAATCAACTGTATTGGGAAAAAGTCAACCATGGCCAATTTACAGTCAAATCTCATAATTTTTGATCCACATAAACATTTTAAACCCATATGTATCATTTGATCAAGTTTGGACCACAATTCCTCAAGAAGTTTGATCAAATCTCCAAAAGGGCAAAATGGTCAAAATTAGGGTTTTGACTGGAAAAGGGTAATTTATGATTTTTGGCCTAAAAAATGATCAATTGGTTTATAAGGCATGATCTCAAGAGTTCAATTGCATCATTTTGACCTAATGACATGGTTTCAAACATTGCAAGTCCATTGGATTGGCAGATGAATTTTACAGTCAATTGATCAAAAGTCAACTGTATACTGAAAAGTTAAACTTTGACTTTTAGTCAAATTCAAGTGTCAAAGATCATAATTCATCAAAACATGTCAAAATATGAAACTCATTCATCAAGAAATCAAAACGTCAAGATTTCATTTTGAAAAGTCAAAACTTCTAAACTTAGAAAATTTTCTAAGTGTTGAAAATTCATGTTTTTTTCATAACTTTGAGCCAAATTTTCACCATGATGCAAGATGATTCAAGAGAAACTTACAACATGAAAGTTGTAGATATCAATTAAATCTACAACTTTGCTTCACACAACTTCTTTTAACAGTGCTTGGATCTCAAGTTATAATTTCAAGAACATAGGGTCATGAAACTAAACACTTAGTGAAATTTTGCCCTAATTTGGTCAGGATTTTGACTCAACTTCATGGCACTTTTTCATATATTTTCAAGGGAAATCTTCAAAAGAAATTCAAAGATGGGTTTTAGAGCATATTTCAAGATTTCCAAAATATCCAAGAACTCCTTGAGATCATTCTTGAGTATGGAGAATGGAAGAGATGAAGTTGGTGTTTTGTCACTTGAATGACAAGGCATTTTCTGATGAACAAGAATCCAATTTCAAACCTATGCTACACAATCTTGTTTTACAGGCTTCTAAACCTCAAGATATCTCTATAATCAGAAGATTACACTTGCTTTTGAGCTATTATCCAAGTGTTCCAAGCATTGTCCAAGCCAATTTTCCATTTTTGGAAGAAAGTTACCATTCCATTCTTGAAAAGTTGCTTTAATCAGAAAGTCAACTTGTCTTGAGCTTCTAACTTGTTCTTTCTGCACACATAACCCTTATAATCCAAAAGCAAGGTATCTAAGGCCTGGGGAAGCTCAGGACATGCTTGTACAACATTTGAGATTTGTCATTTCACTTTTCTTCAAAAGCAAGTTATAGAGCCATAACCCTATAACTCAGAAGCCTGGAATGATTTTGGTGCTCTAATCTTTTCCATACATATTAACAAGTTTATTGCAAGCTATGGGACGATTTGAAGAATCCTAAAACTCTCCCAAACACCCTTGCTGCACAAGACTGCTCAACTTGACAGTTTTGAGCCAAAAAACTCTCCATCTCCATTTCCACTCGTGCGTTTTGATTCTTAATCATTCAAACACCTTACATACATCATACACAAGTGATCCAAGCCCCTGTTTCAAGATTGTAACCCCTCCATCACCATTCACCATTTTCAAACATCAATCTTACAGGTTGACTTGAATAGGGAGATTCAGGGACTTTCAAAGCAAAGTAAGAGTTGGAATACACTCAAGGAGGTACAGGTAAGCTAAACAGATTCTTAGGACACCTCAAAGCCTGCTCAAACTCCATACGCGAATCCATCTGCAAGATGTAAGTTTTCTAACTTCAATATCTTGATACAAGCATCCTATGTGCATACATTCTGAAGTAAAAATATAGATATCATTGCTCTAAAGCTAACCATGTCCATAGTTTTCATTTATATTGACAGTGTGTAGAGAATTTTAGATTTTAACTTTCTGAAAAAAATTAGGTTTCAATTTAGGGCCACCAAAATTAATCTTCATCTTTGACTTTTAGCTTACATAAGTTATATGGTTGGAATCGTGAGGAAAAATAGCACAACTTTCATGTTTGTATTTTCCATTTTTGTTGAGAAACGAATGACATACAGGTGGTCCGGCTGGCTGAAGGTTGAAGACGAAGTACAGGTCATGGAGACGTTTTACCTTATGTATTTATTCTTTCATTTAAGTTAACGGATGTACAGCCACCCCAATGGTAAGGCAGTGCGCGTTATTGGTAGAGGTCATGGGTCGAACCTCAGCGCTGCCTTTTTGTAATTTTTTACATTTTTTGT